CTGACCGTACCGAGTTCTGCCTCTTCGAGCATGCTGCATGTGAGCTCTCTACACACCTTCAACTCTGTATGCAGAGAGTTGTCGGGCTTCCAAAACTCCTGCACATGTGCTTTCGGGCGTCGGCGCTGCATGAATGAACCACCTGTCGTCTTGAATGAACTGTTGTGCGGCGAGCAGCGGCCATATACTTTGGGTCATCGAAAATCTCGCCTAAGGCATTCAGTTTCTTGAGAAACCACGATAACCAAAGATATACAATGTCGGACTGGCGAGTAGTTGATGTGGCCACTCTCCGTCAGGAAGTCTAACGCTGCAAAAGCTGACTAAGCCGCCAGCCTGAGTCGTCCTGATCTGTCTGAAACAATCCATGGAATCCCTACAGCACTGCGTGATTACTATGTCTTGAAGGACGCTACAGCCGCACACTGGAGCGACTTCAGCCTCTACGCCTCTACACTCTGGTTACCAGGCATTGAAACCAACACCGTATGTGATGCACGCGCAAGTTCTCATGCCTTCTCTGCCGTTTCCAACGCTGCCGAGTAGAAGTCAATTGCCTCACAGCGCTAGCGACTCGCCGACCAAAGCAATGTCATGCACAAAGCAACCTGCGGCCTCCTCCAGCTGAGATGCTTTGAAACACTCGTTACCACGCCTGGGAGCGCCAAGCTTTGCTCTAGCCGCACAGATCGGCGACTCCGATATGCCCCGTGCTGCTGTAGTTTACGTCAAGGCTTGCACCTGGGGCTTGTGCCGAGCATCACCATCTTTGCGGGCAATGTTGGTCACTCACGCATGAGATCTTGCTTCTTCCCACGCTTTTGGACTTCGGACGCCCCCTCGCGTTCTGTATGGGGTACTGTATGTGTTATCCCACAAAAGCCCGGGATTTTGGGGGAAGCGGATACAAGGCAGCTTCCTGATTAGACCTCCCCGACGTTCAGCGTGAGAAGCGCCACATCTTTTGCTCCAAGCGACTCCTTGAGCTCGGCCACTGTGAGTCCAGCGGCTACAACGGGCGGAACAAACGCCGTGAGATTGGCCTCCAACATGCAGAGTCGGAGTCGGGTCGAAAGCTGACGTCGCGCGACAGTTCAACTGAGGAAGTGCCCTTTCGAGGAAGTGGCAAAGCGCATGCTAGCGAGGCACCTCCTTTAGCCGCTTCGTGCCGCCACCATCGCCGCGCACCTCCACCTGAATCTGGAATGGCAAACTGGCGAAGCTGCATCTGGGCCTGCGTTTGAGCACTATGTGGCACCTGGCTACAACGGCGTGGTGCTTGTGGTGGAATGGATGATATGTTCAAGCTTTGGAAGGCTTTGCCTCTGTTGGCGCAAGGTCACAGTACGGAAAGCCTCCCAGCGCTCTGCATGCACATCGAACTTCTGGAGCCGCCCAAGCCTTCAAGAAACTGACAGACAACAGGGTCTAAGTCGTCGCTGACGTGTCTTTCGGTGCGTATTCCGCTTGATGGTGAGCTTTGTACGAGGTGTTAGAGGTCCGATTGCAGCGACCAGTACAACTCTAACACGCTGTACTGTAAACGACCCTGTGGCTAGTCGTTCGAGCTCCTGTTTGCAGTCAAACCCGCAAAGCTGAACTCACTGATCCAACAAGTGATGGCAAGCTTCGGCAAAGAGCTCGCTCAGGCCTTCCGTTCAGCTCGGGGGCGCTTTGCAAGCCTTGCAGCTGAACCTAGGTGGCCCAAGTCTCTAGTATTCCACTGAATGCGGGCCGATTGTCAAGTCAACTCGGGGGAGCAGATCTGGCTTCCGAATGCTTCGTTGCTGGGCTCTGGACAAGCTGCTTGACCTTCCAAGGTCCATGCTCCTGGCCCAACTTCAGGAGTCCGAAACAGGACAACGGAACCCTGCACCTGCGTTCCTAAACCTTGCCAAATCTTTGAGCGTGGCATGATGTGGCATGTGCTGAAGGACGTGGGGGCTTGTTGAGCACATCGGTATCCGCTGCGGCTGGCATTACCATGCTACAGGATCCATGATTCAGCCGGAATATGTTTGATGCTTGTGGACGTCGGGGGTCAATGGTGGTCACGGTTAAGGTTACTGACTAGTAAGCTACTGTCGACAGTGTCGCTGCCGAGAACAGGCTCAAGCTTCACGAATTTGGGATCACTACTAGATGATATCAGCAATAAACAATGAGGAAAACAAGTGGCAAGGGAAGGACAAGAAAGACAAGAAAACCCAGACTGCGGCCGACATGATCTACTCATGTCAACAGAATTTGGTTGTATGTATTTTTTGGCACTCGCACTCGGCAGGCAGGCGAGGCTTCGGGTCGTTCAGGGTAGACTTCACGGTACTCGGCACATTAACCCAGTCATCCACACCTCAGCACATTAGTTTGGTTGTATGTATACAATGCAGCTGTGGGACAGGATGGAAAGGTAACCTCAATTGTACTCCAAGACTTAGCTTCACAAAGGATGAGGAGCAGGTGGAAGCAAACATCTATGTGTATGCATGAATGCAACCAATGCTAGCTTCCATGTCAAGAGTATTGATGCCTAGATGACGACATCCTTCACGTACTGTGGGAACAGCAGGCATCAGCCAGATAGCGCTGCAAAAAGCTTCGCAATGTCAACGACAGCAAGAAGGCTTTCAGGATGTTCATGTGAACACTCTGAAGTCTGATACCGGTGATGGAATCAATTCTGTCTCAAGCTGTCCAAACGACGCGATGCTGACACCTCCCTGCAGCGAGGTGACACATCCTGATGCGGCGACTGCTCGAACATTGACAGAGGATTTGTCGTGTCAGCACAATTACGGCAATGACGGTTGCGCGCTGGTTGGGTCTGCTTCTATCGGATTCTATCGCCGCCGCAGGACGACCACGCCGCGCATCGTCAGACGACGGCACCACATGGCTGTTGAATTGGGCATGTTGCAAGCACAAAATAGGACAAAAGGAGGCTTCCTTAAGTCAACATCACACAAATGACTACGCGTATGCGCTGGTGGAGGATGCATGCATGAATGGCATGAGCCTTTTGTCAATAGCTTTGACGGCTCAGGATCGGGCCGGCAAAACGAAAGCATTTTTGTGTGGTTCCGGCCCCGAAGGCCGGTCGGATGTGTGCCACATCCTTGCACCGTCGTATCCCAACCTCCGTGAATCCACTCCTGCTTCTGCGCTTGCCTACGCACCGCAGTAACGTGCAGCAGCAAACTCATCACCGCAAGTGGGAGTTGTGCAGTCGAGCCTCGTGCCTGATGGCCTGAGCCGTAGCTAATTCTCAAACACCAAACCCTAAAACACAATGCGCAGTGTCTAAGTCTAAGTGTCTAACAGTCTAACGTCCTCAGCCTGGACAACTGCATGCTTGGTATGATTGGACTTACTTAAGTAATTACTTCATTTCTACTCATTGACAGATCAATGATTACAAGGATAAGCAGGGCAGCATGTGGTAGGCTTCCCAGCTTCCTTCCTTACTGTCGTACCTTCCTTCCGTCCTGCTTGCTCCGTCATCCGCCCTTCAGCCTCGCTCTTTTCTTCGTCAGTGACTTCGCTCGCTCCCTCCTCCCTCAACCGGTCACACACTCATTCACACGCGCCCGGACAAGCAACACCTGCGCACACTGCTGAACTCCTTGAGCAACGGCCCGGATGCCCCAGTCGACGGACTGCCGTCTGTCTTGGCCGCAGTGCCCTTTGCACTGCATCTGTAGCCACCCGGCATTGGAGCAGCTTCCAGATGCCTGGGGCAACTGCGCACGCTATGGCTACCGATGCAAGCACTGGCAGAGGTGCGCAGGCCTGTATGCCACAGTCACAGGCTCGGCGCCAGCTGTCGCGGCGTCATCAAACTGGACCCGCATATTCCTGGCAAAAACATGAAAGACATCCCAGCCAGGAGATGCAAGATCAACAGCACATAATCTCTATCCAAGCCAAGTTCCTGCCCTCTGCATTGTTTTCAACCTTGGTGAACTTCGGCCAAAAATCAGACGGAGTGAGCCGAACTGAGGGTTGAAGGGCAACAGCTGTAGCAATGGCGAAGCACTAAGCTGCCGGCGATGCTGCCCTCCATGCCTCCGTGAAACCTGGACTCTGCTCGCTTGCCATCTCACATGACGCTCTGTTTGCTCTGGCTATTGAAGATGTCCTTGAGCTCAGGCCTAAGCTTCTCGAAGTTCCGCCCACCGAGCACTCGGACCCGCTCACCGGTTTCAAGCCCGGCGAGTTCTGCCATCGCAGATGGTTTACCTGCGAAAGTAATGCCAAACTGAGTTACCATTGAACGCCACGACTTTGAAATTGCTTAGTCAATCCGTCCTCCCGGATTCTCTGGCGATTCAGGCTTGAAGAGTTGGAGACGGTCAGCAGCCGCGGCGCGGCACAAGGATGGCTGGCTGCTTAGATAGCAGAGTTTGCCCTCGGCTGATGAACTGAAGGGGACTGAGTGCACCAGCGTTATGCGCGTCTGGGTGGTTCTAGCAAGTCTAGTTCTGCTGGTGATCTGTGCACGTGGATCACGAGGCACCCTCACGCCCAGGCACCTATCGGCGTCCTTACATTAAGTGAGCGACTGGTTCAGATCTTTCCATCTGCGCATCGTTACGATTCTTGTCTATATGGCCTATATATATATATATAATGGCGACTGACGTGTAGATAGATAGATGGATGGACAGATAGACAGACAGACAGACAGACAGACAGATGGAAGGATGGATGGATACATGGAGTCGCGGCTTGCTTGCTATTCATGTTGCAGGTACGCACTGTTGCGATCCGTTGGGCATGCAGATGTCAATCAATGCATGCAAGCATCAAGTAATGGGGCGAGTTTCGTGAGATGACACTCACGCCAGGTGTGACTGAAGCCAAAGGAACAGATGGAAAGGCAAGAAAGATCCACACTGGGCATCCTCCGGAGACCGTGTTGTCTGCACAAACTGCAGCAAAAGCCGCAGTGTCATCCTGGTGATGCAAACGTCCCTGTCATGCCACGTAAGTTTCTGCGCCTTCGTGATGCAAATCTTGCTGATAAGGTCCGGCCTGCTCTCTGTTTACCGGAAAATGTTGAGTCTCGTGGGCATGCTCCTGAAGATCCATCACTGCACCGCTACTTGCCAGGCACCATGCGCTGCTCTCTAATTTGCTTACTGTGGTGGTACGGTAACCAATGGCAAGATCAACACAAGTGCCCGACATCTGTGCCACGACCTCAGAAGAACGCATCAGAATGCTCAAGGCTGCTGTGTGCAACAAGAGCCTCCGTAGTGGCTCCATGCTTGGTCACACGGGCTCAAATCAGACAATTAAAAAACAATGCGATCGAAGCATACCGCTGCTTCCGAGCGTTGCTGAGTATATCTGAGTGCATGACGCTGAGGGCCCCTGCAAACCAGCAGTTCCCGAGGGCACCCTGGCTGAGTGTTGAGTTCCTAGGACATACATGAGTTTCGCCAAGGCAGGAAGCGTGGAACATGTAAAAGGGGCCATCGTGCTCCTTTTCTGCTACCATAGTCACCGCTGCATGGCTGTACTGCATGACCAATGCATCACAGCCTCCCGCTTTCAAACATGTTGGATCCGTGCAGGAGCCTGGCATACATCTTCGGGACGCGCCGCCTAGCAGGATGAGCTCAGCAATTCGGTTCACCGCTTTGCAGAGTGGCCTGAAGACATCTTACGGAACAGGAGCACTGCATGCTAAAACCCATCCGAAAGTTTAAGCTCATCTCGCAACCGCGGGCTCACTCAACCAAATCCGATGTTAAAGCGCCGTGAATCTCTTTTCAGCCAGCTGGTTGCGACTGGTCTGTCACACACCAAGGCTGCCTCTCCTGCAAAGAAAGTGGAGATGATCGTGCCGGCTTCAACTCACATCACCCGCCAGGAGCAGCACACGCAGCAACCAGCTTCACCACCTCATTCTCTCCTCTAACCTATGGCCTGCCATTTTTCAACAATTGACCAGGGACAATATGCGCAAGGATGCCTTGTGACATCATGTACCGCAACTGGTGCCAGCCACATGTAGTCATTCTATCAAGGCGGTGCAAACGATACACAAGCAGCCGGGAAAGACAAACACTGCCACTCATCAAACCCGAGCACTTCGAGCATCTGGAATCCATCACTCCTGCATCTGTCATGATCTCTTGGGAGACCACGAAGATGCCAGCTTCTTGGCGTTGAGCCGCACAAACCTGCAGAGGGGAGAAAATATAAGCAGGGTGAGAAGTCCAACAGCACTTGCCATTGTCGTGGAAAGTAGTAGGTGGGTGACTTGAGACTAAGTAAGGCCCACTCCCCTGAGCAGTTCTATCCGTGCTTCGATACTTGAACACATGCGCTCCGAAAACTTCACCCCTCCAACACTCGAGTAGTGTGCAAAGCTCGTTCATGCCGACGGCCACCGCAAAGACAGGTTACGTTGTTATCCGCACGCACCAACATCACCAGCACCATCCAGCCCCTGCTGCTGCTCCTACTCCTAATGCACGTCGACGACTACTACTACTACTGCTGCTACTACTGCTACTACTGCTACTACTACTACTGCTACTACTACTAGTGCTACGACTACTGACTACGACTACCAATACCACTACCACCACCACTACCACGACCGCAACCGCTACCACTACGACACCAGTACTACTACTTTGGTACGGCCCCCATAAAGTAAGAGTCTATAATAGGGCTACTATTAAGGTCCTACTATATCTATGTAATGAATATTATTCAACTATTACTGAGTGGTGGCCGTACCCAAACTACTACCACCACCAGTACCACAACAACAACAACAACAACAACAACTACAACTACAACTACTACTACTACTACTACTACTACTACTACTACTACTACTACTGCTACGACTACGACTACGACTACCACTGTACTACAACGACGGCTGCTACTGCTACCGCTACTGCTTTTGCTCCTGCTGCTGCTACTGCAACTGCTACTGCTACTGCTACTACTACTACTACGACGACCACCACGACCACTGACAACGACCACTACTGCTAAGTTACCACTACTACTACGACGACGACGACTACGACGACGACTGCGACTGCGACTGCGACACCGACACTGCGAATGCAGCTGCGAATGCCACCGCTGCTGCTACTGCTACTGCTAGTACTACGACTACGACCACAACTACTCCTACTCCTACGTACTCTTACTCCTACTCCTACCCCTGCTCCTGCTACTACCACTGCTGCTACTACTACTACTACCACTACTCCTACTACGCCTCGTGCTGCTGCTACTGCTGCTGCTGCTGCTACTGCTACTGCTACTGCTACTGCTACTGCTACTGCTTCTGCTTCTGCTTCTGCTTCTGCAGCTGCTGCTACTTACTGCTACTACATGCTCGCAGACGAGCGCTCGCAGACGAGCACGGGCACCAACACATGAGCACGACCACTACAACCTTGCAGCAGCAGCCCTGCAGCAGAACCAGCCACATCAACACATTTGTGCCGTTGTTGTGAGGGTATCGCACGTACGAGACATGCAAAAGGATCTCTGATGTGCTTCGGCATGGACATCTTCCGAGCCGAGGCACCGCGCATCCCCACCTAAGAGTGAGTTGAGCAACCTGGGACAGATGGGGGTCACTCACGGGATATTGATCCTGCACGGACAATCCTGAAACAGTTCAGTGAAGCAACAGCTCGATGCTGTTGGCGTCTGCAGGCACAGGCTCATCATCCTGCTCTATGCCACGAAATGGGCACTAGGGTAGAAGGCAGGTGAGAATTTTCCATGTCTTGGAACTGCAAACATTCCTTCCTATTCTTGCAACTTTGGCCTGCTCGTCGTGCTGGACTAAAGCATACTTGGGGCTGTTGCCACCTCCAAGGGTGTGTCATGTGTGTCTGTAGCACTGCAGGCACCTACACTCTACTCGCAGAATCCCATCCGAAGCCTTTGATCACCATTGCAGACGGGATTGCCGGTGGGTCCAGCAAAGATCGCACGGCCCGCTCCGCACGCACATCCAACCAAAGCCATTCCAGAGGAATTCTTTGCTCGTCGAGCTTCCGCTGAAAGCGATCTTTCATATTCAGGAGCATGTCTTCCTCCGCTTCTGTGAGGGGCCCCTCCTTCATGTACACGAGAAACCACCATGGCTTGTCCAGGAGACGCTGCTGCGTACGGCCGCTGAGCTCCAGCAGGGCTGACGAGGCACCTCCAGGCACTGGCCAGTCACAGTAAATTGGCCACTTGCGTTGAAATAGTGCCGCGCCTTTCGGCTTACCCGCTTGTCCTGAAAAGATTCGTGCTTGAGGAGAACTTCTGGAGTAACATGCAGGAAAGAAACACTGTGAAAGCAGCACTTGCAGGCCTCCAGCCGCTGTGCCGATCTTCCTGCAAACCTTCGTTATGAGGAGTCGCTTGGCACACTGGCAAATGTACGCAGCACCATCCAAGCAAAGTGGTCGTGCAAAGTTCGATTGACAAGTGTACTTCAGTCAGCAGCAACGTCAGAATCGGGCCTTGCGAAGTGCGACTAGAAATGCTTGCTATCGTCCTCACCGTCCCAACCATCTCCGGTGTTACGTCTTTGCAAACCCTGACGCCGGCGAACCGTTGAATCTGAAACGGCCGATGCGAACCTGAAACTTCAGAAAAACTATGCAAAACTCCACACAGTGGGTCTGCCAAACCCCCGTGCTACTCTGTGTCTGCGTATGTTCTGGTTTTGCAGAAGCACCTGGTCGGATTCGTCGCACCGTGTGGTGCAAGGGGCAATTTTGATCTGCGGAAGCCGAACAAGTGGCACGCGCCCCACATTTGTGCTCATGACCCCGAGTTGGAGTGACCAAAGTGTGGACCTGCCATCAGGTGATGAGTAAGAAAACCGGGCACGCCGTGTCACGCATGCTAGGCAAGTCGAAAAGCGCTCCCCGTTTTGCTACTGGGCCGATGTGTAGCCAGTGTGCAGAAACCCTGAAAACCCCCAACCCTGCATCCTTAATCCATAAACCATTAATTTGAGGAGGGGCGGTACTTATGTAAACTGTAAACCTGATCCTGTCCCGAAGCCCTAACTGGGGCCTAGGTCTGAACCACTCCCAAACCCTAAACCATTCGCCGGCTTCTGCATTCAGGTGCCTTGTGGATCAACACAATGCGATTGATCGAATGAAGAGACTTTCAACCAATTTCTCGCGTGTTGTTTGGGATGCGCATTCTGCCGGAGAACCAGGAGGAGCGTAGAGGACTTTTCTTGAACCTACATCGAAAGGGATGTGGATGTGTCACACGGCACCGTCGGACATGTTCACTTGCAAGTGTTTCCCTAAACCATTCGCCCCGCTCATGTAACTTCCGTCCTCCAGGTCGTCCCGACATTTCGTCTGCGTCAGAAAAAACTACAGCCATGCATACGCACGTTGCTGCGTTGCTGGCTACAGGAGAAGTCGACCCAGAAAAAAAGACTCCTCAAACGCTGAGCACCGTCATCCCCAAACTGCCCCCGACAATCGAGCTACTGGTAGGGGTCCGCTTTTAAGCTGGTCACTGGTGCAAGGTCGTCTCGTCCAGCACCGCGGCCAGCCGTGTTGAAGTGCATGCGCTCCTTGGCTCTCCCGGCTCGGCGACGGCGCATATCTCTTCTCTGCTCTTCGCATCTCTGCTCATTTGAGGCTCTCTTTCCTTTGCTCTCTGTGATTGCTCTTTTGCTCTCTGCTGCTCTGCTCATTTTTGCTCTCGTGCCAGGCAGCCAGGCCAAGGGATTCGTCCGGGTGTTCTCTCACAGAGCAGAACTTTGGCAGACCCTCGAAGGCATTCGTCCAGTAGGGGTCTGGCTTCAAGCCCATGGACAGGATGGCTTGCCTTAGAAATCGTGAAGGCTTCATCGTCAAGGCTCTCTTTGCACGCCGACACATCTGAACCTTGCAGTGCTGGTCCAAGTTGCCGACACTCCTCGAAAGTCGGGATCTCAGCCCCGGCAGGACAGCCATCGGCTCCATTCGCGAGCTTGACATACTCGTACTGCTCTGATGTCGGCGCCTCGCGCGAACTCGCAAGCGCACGTCTTGTTTTCAGTCCTTGGTCCTGGCTGGTGCCCTTAAGGCTTTCGATCACTCTTCTGCCTACTGTGCTCGACCACTACAGCAGGCCGACCGAGAAACAAATGCACCTCCTCCTTTTTCTCCTTGTAGTTGGCCATGACACCTTCGGCGAGCTTCGCCACCAGCTTCCTTGCTGCTACCCCACAACGCGCGACAGCATGCAAGAGCCGCGGGGCCGCGCGACGTTTCGCCGAGGCTCTCGAGGCTCGCTTCGCCAGCCGTGGGCCCCGAGAGCTTTTCGATGACCGCTTGCACGTTCCTAAGCGCTGCACCAGCTTCACATGAAGGCTTTTATGAAAAAGATATACCTCGCCTTGCACCTTGGCCATGGCGTGGCATACGAAGCTTAGCACGGCCGTGACCGACTGGCACTGGCCTTCTTTTTTGGCTGAGAATCAGGGGTAGGTCTTCCAGATCAAGAAATGAACCCGTCCTCAGGTGCTCAAGACCAGACACGTCCGGTGAGGCAAGTTGACTCTGCGCAAAGTCTCAGTCGCTGTTGCCGTGTCTGTCTCTTCCCTCCTT